CCCCCCGGTCCCCCCATGTCAAAAAAAGCCCGGTCTAGGTAGGGTTAAGGGTAAAGTAATCACCTGCTCAGACAGGTTTGACCATCTTCTTTTTATGTGTTCATGTGATTGTGACACAAATAATGTCAACAGTTACTATTCATACATATGCCATACGTCATTGTGGACTACAGTATTGAGCCTTGTTCATGTGAAGTCACCCAAACCAAGATTCGGGTAACTCGCATTCCTCACATCTGGTCCACGTGCCACACCACATTCCTTTGAAACCGATTCCGATCACAATTCGCCTGAGCTACATTTATTGTTGTTTGATGAAAACACGCTAGGTAGCGTGTTATTATTGTCAGAGGTCAACGACCTGCTTGCTGGTGCCCCCCTCCCAACGTATCTCGGCCGAATGCCGACGTGGTCCCGCCAGAGGCGGTGAAGCTCGTCCTAGAACGGACACATTATTTGACCATTACTACTCTTTAAGTTGCTGCCACGTAAAATTTGGTATTGCATATAAATAAAGAAATATCACCCTGTAATCCATGACTAGGTGAAGTCACATTGAAATCACATTGCGTTCAGACGCAAATCGCGATGCGGGAAAACCGATTCGAAACCACCTCTAGAAGTGGCTTGGGATCGAGGCGCTTTCAATGTGATTTGGAGCGTTCAGATGGAGCCGCTTGAAACCGGCTTCGGGGTAAACCACATGTAAAGCGCCTTCACTGACTTCACATGAACACGGCCATAGAAAGATGAGCTGCAGCTGTGTGTGATTTGATTGAATTCTAGTAAATCATCTTTAAATTAGCAACCTCAGTGTATTTACCGTGACAATGAAGAGGACAAGGAAATAGAATGAAAGAAAATTGGAACTTTGTTTTTATTCATATTGAAACATGCGACATTCTTTTCCAACAACCACGTATCAGGTACTTTAGACTACTACATGTATTAAGCACTATACAACATGTATACCAATACTGAATAAATTTGACTGAATAAACAAATTTGTTTCTGTTATGTTTTATTCAAGGATTTTTTTATCAAAACTTTTCGTCTCGCCTACAGAACCAAAAGAGGTATGAGTTTACAAAAATATAAAAACAATGTATTTTTCAACTGTGCACAAAAAAAGCATATATGTATTTACAAGTTCATCTATGTTTCAACTATGTCCAAACTCAATGTTGAACATCGAAATAAAAGCATGAAAGTATAAACAAGCTTGCATATTGCCAAGATCATTTGGCTCTGCTGGTTATAGTCATTACAAACGATAGTAGGTTGTATCTTACTCAACGTAAAACAGAATGCAGTGGCTATAAAACTATATATACACAATACACAGGTACAACATATTTCCCCCAGACGTCCTATCAGGTGAATAAGCTGTACATTGATGCTGAAATATAGTTGCGGACTACATAGTCATCACCCAATAGTTTAAATTACAAGCACAGGTATATTAGGTGCACATTAACTGTATTATGAATTTCAATTTCTAATATTAATCTTTTATGTGTTTCTTACCCATATAAGTTATAATATTATAATATATACTAGGGCTGCGGACCGGTACACTGTACCGGTCCAATACCGTAAAAATCGTTTCGGTACAGGTCCAAAATACCGGATCATGAAGTAACGAGTATATACCGAAATAGCTAGTTTACACCATGTATATGACTAAAGATAGGTAAATCCTACCACAAAGACGAAAAATTAGCACTGGAAAAGACGTAAACACCGTCGATTGATTTGAGATCCTCAGTCTCACGAGACATCGCGAGAGTGTGGCTGATCCAGGGTTGTGATTGGTCAACAAACTCAAATCAGGTCAGAGGTCAGTCATTTTCCCTTCCCTCCAACACTTTATTATTGTTTCTGTGTCATGATTGAAAAAGTGAAGAACACGTGTTAATTTGTCAAATTGTTCAGGTACAGGTACAGGTCCGGACCTGTACCTAAACCTCTGTACCAGTACCTGTACCTGTACCTGGTGTTACGTTTAGGTACGCAGCCCTAATATATACATACAGCTACGCCAATGTGGGATTGTGCACTATTATATTTCAGCTCGCGTTGATCTCTAGATCTAAAAGTGAACGGTCACTTGAAGTCGTACAAGTGTAGATATTGAAGATTGTGCTATCTGCTTGTTTAGGCAAATGCCTTGTATTCATGTCCTCTGATGATGAAGGTCGGCGGTCCGCCATCTTTGCTGCGGAAGAGCACGAAGGCCATGGCCATGCCAATCCACTGGGAAGGAAAATCATTGGATTAGGAAAATGTTACTGGATACCTGCACAGACCTGTACTTATCCCATCCCACAACACTGTTCATCCATAATACGTACACTCGTACTCTTTCGTCTTTGTATGTAAATGAAATCATGCAACAAAATAAGGGGAAACGAGAAAACAATTATGAATGTCTGATAAAAAGTCGATGCAAGTTTTCAAACTCACTGTAATAAACGCCACGGCTATCGGCATGCCCGCCATGACACTGATGGCACCGCGCAGGTTGTCCATGATCTTCGTGTCACAAGCTAGGCTAGAGGGAAAAACAAAATGTTTCATTTGTTTAGGTACAAAAACATGTGCTAGTTCACTCGGCAAGACATGAGGCATAGTGTTGTCACATCTTATTATAGACTCCTCAGTCTTCGGTGCTGTAAACTTTCTTTTGTACTACTTAAAGAACAAAGAGGTTCCTTGACTTGAACTTGAACATGAGAGGAAGGATCATTTATGAAGAAAAGTATACTAGAGAAGTAACATTTGCAAAGCAAATGCATAATGTTTACCTTCGGACATGGTCTGCTCTGTTAATTCTTACTCAAACACATTCACATACATGTACTACTAGTATGTGGTGATAGGAGCAGAGCAGACCATGAAATCGTAACATTATGTAACCCAACACCAGTCAACATGGTGACAGACATAAAAAAATCATGTCATTGGCCAGGTCAGAGGTTATCCGGACTATAACTGACCCCTGTCGCGGAAAAACTGGGGTGTGCACCGTTAACAACATCAACAAATCTTACAGTAACTTAAGAAAAGCGAACATGCATCGCTTTATATTGTCACTGTCAATTCAAATTAGACAGTAAAAGGATATACAAGACTTACTTTCTCTTTCAGGACTTTCATAATGCTGTAGGCATATTCTGTTAACAAAAGAAAATATGTCACAAATACAGATAATGGATTCCTTATAAAGTCAAGTCAAGTCATGTTAGTACATCCAGTTGAAATAATAAATGTTTTTTTTTATTGTCCAAACAGTACCCGTGCAGTCGCAGCCTTTATACGGCTGAATTGATGCAGGGTATCACATAATAATCAATACAAATCACAACAATTACAACAATTAAATAATACACATGATACACATATTTGTTCCACAATTATTTTTTGTGGAATTGTCACAAGGGTCTGTGCGGCTGCCATTCGGCGCCACAAGGTGACCTCAATACGACTTTCCCCAACCGAAGTTAGGTACCCATTCACACCTGGGTGGAGTGAGGAAAGTCGTGTAAAGTGCCTTTCCCAAGGGCACAACGTCGGGGCGCATGTTCAGACATGTACCGGGTACGACTCAGAATCGAACCCGGGTCTCCCCGGTTCATATTCGATTGCTCTAACCACTACAACACCCGACGCCACATATAAAATCATTTAGAGGATCAAATATACTTACAATTGAGGACATCCAGTGTTTAGTAAATTACATATTTTGTACTAGTTACATGTACATGTCTATAGCTAACAGTACTGTAGCTTGGTTAAGCCTTACACTTTGTAATATACATGTACCCTCTCCAGTGTACCAGTTAAGAACAAAATTGGGACACATTTCAATGACCTGTATGTGACTAACTCACCAGCATTGTTATCTTCCAGTGCACATTTCAGTGCAAACTGCAGGGGGACGGTGTGAATGCCTTGCTCCAGGAGCTGGTCACAGTACTTCACTAGGGTGTCAATTGGCTGGGGGGAGGGCGGGGAAAAATATACTGTTAGGATTAGTGGGAATATCTTTGCTTATTCTCCTGAACTAATTATGAGGTATCGAGAGAACATTTACAGAAAGGTTTGTATAGACATGCCATGTTTGTCTGTGATGTCTAGTGGTTTAAGATGGTTATAGGGAAAGAAGCATGAAAGGAAGACATGAATGGCTAGTGGCAAAAGAAGGAATGGCGGAATGAAGAAAGTAAGAACAAAAAATAACAGGGAGAAAGGAAAAACAGCAAAATAACTGTAACATTGGCAGGTGACTTTTCTTTTGTTGCATATACTAGTAAGTTACTCTAATTATAATACCTGTTGATGGACCAAGTACTGAAAGTTTTTATAGAGATATAGAGAAAAGGATGCCTTTTTGTGATATATTCCAAATTCCAAATTTGTTTTCATAAACTCCAACATTTTTGTGGAAAATGAAGTGAAAGAGATTTCTAGAGCAGGCAATCAGTAATACTAGATCATGCATGTAACTTACAAACTGTTCACAAAATATGTACAAAGGCAGCTATGTTGCCAGTAAAATGTAATGGCACCAAGTAGTGGTGCATACCGGTTCACTGGACTTGGATCCGGACTTGTAAGAATGTTTAGGTTCAAGTCCAAAAAAACCCTAAAAGTCAAGAACCGAGTCCGGACTTATTACCATAAAAGTCCATTTCACATACCCCTTTTCTTACCATAAAAGTCCATTTCACATACCCTTTCCAAACCACCTAAAACCTTCCGTAGATTGCAAAATCTTTGCTGCAAACTGAAGAAAACATTGCCATGGGGCATCGCCAAGTACCGGCCTCCATGTTATGTGGCCAAAGTTTCACCCAGACAACATTGCATTTGCAAGGTAGCAACATGCAATTTTGTATATGCCATGGGCTTAGGTCCGGACTTACAAGTCCGGAACTGAACCTAAACCTCTGGACTTGAATCCAGACCTGAACCTAAAATTGGGTTTAGGTATGCAACACTAGCACCAAGCCAGGCCATAGCAATTCAACCTAAGATTAAAAATTAAGTATGGTCAACAAGTTTGTTCCATGACTACAAAATGAACTGAAACATAACATGTTCCTCAAGGGTCCCTACCTGGCCCCTCTATGTCCCTCTGCTGGCAGTACGCCATGACCAGGTGTTGGTACGTCACCTGGAAGGGAAGTCAGGTCACATGCCAACTTCAAGTATTTATCAGGCAGCTCTACAGTTTTTAATACACAAAACTTTAAAAACAACATATATCAGCAGGAACAAAAAATATAATTATGTAATCGCCATTATGTTATGGCATGGTGTATGTAAAAAAAGGTCCACATAGTGTGTTTTTTTATATTGAATGTTGGGAATAGAATACAGGTATTTTTTTTCACCAGTCAGATCTAGAAGCTTGACCCTTACTCTTGTTATAACAAGAATTTAGGATGTACCATTGTAGAAGTTGAAGAGTGGTGTATAGAATTTTTTCTTTTGGTTTTAGCTCAAACTAGACAAAAATGGGAATGGCCAGTGATGATATTTTCCTATCCATCCCCCTTCCAACATTTAAAAGAGAATAACCATAATACAATGTAACTGACACCTACTGTACTCTGTTAGGCTGTATGTCCTTTGCTTCCATGTTGGTCAGAAAACTTGTGTTCACTGTCCAGACTTTCAGCTGGACATTGTAGTGACCCACATCATACTTGGCACCTGCAATCAAACCTGTCTATAGTGTCACCACCCAAGGTGACTTGCACAAAAATGTTCACTATAGACAGCTGGCGAGTACTATAGACTGAAGTATTCTAATTTTCGGTCAATTTCAAAGGACCACAAAAAATAGGCCACAGAGACCTAGTGGTCCCTAGCAGGGGTTTGACTATAATATATACACTAATGTGGTCAGATGTACATGTGTAGATGTTCAGAAGACAAGAACATACGTGATTTCTTCCATCTTGTTCCACATCTGGTCCATGAGAGCCAGTTTGCTATTCCTGGTCTCCTCGGACAGCATGATACAGCATGATACAGCTAGGGAGTAGCATCAGAGCCTGCTTGGACGTGACCTGGCCTGTACATGGGTAAGGTCACATCAATTTAATTTCTTGGTTAACGGATTCGCCCCCTTCATTTTTTTCTGATTTGCAAATAAAAATAAAAATTTATAATTAATTAGAATCAACTGCAAAATTCTCATATTTTGCCCTGAACAGTTGAAGAAAGTCCTTTTCTTCCTAGTTGTTACAGTTATTCCATCTTTCAATGCAGTGATATCATCAAAAGTTCATTCATTGTTTAAATTTTGAAACAGCCAGGTGTGTTGACTTCATGACTCTTATCATACCATTTTGGGCCATAATAAGATGCCTAGGCCTGTTTTTATTTTTATTTTTGCCCGCCCGCTCCATCATTTTTGTAGCAACATCCGTTAACCAAGAAATTAAATTGGTGTGGCCTAATGGAACCAACATGGATTAACCTCCAAGCAGATGTGTATAGTCTTTATTTCTTTATTTCTTTATTTGAATTCACCACATGCAAAAAACAAGTGGAAGGGAGGACAAAACAGGTGTATCAACGCCTTTACAAGTTGTCCTCCCAAACCTGAAATGATAATACAAAACAATACGGAACCAAGTCAAACAATAAACATTAGACATAAGACATCAAAAATCAGTAGACATGAAATATACAATTCGGTAAAAGTTATACAGAGAATTGATTATGTACAAAAATTATCAAATGTCATTATGTACAGATTAAAAAGCTAATTATGATACT